CTGGTTGTGTGAACTTGTTCCTTGCATCCGCCATCCTAAAGAGTAGAAAAGGTGAGAAGTCAGAAGAGAAGAGAGTGAGTAGTGATCTAGGTCTTTTAGCTTAGTGGTCGTGTCCTACAGTCAGCGTGTGCTCTGATACCATCTCTGTAGCGACCAGACCTCATACAGTCTGATCTCTGTGCTCCGGTGTCATCCCTAGATCAGTAATGCTGACACCACACAGTACTCGGAGGCTTTATAGCAGAGTAGCAATCACACACTTATTACATCGAGTGTCTCAAAGGAGAACTTATTACAATAAATATGGCTTAAGGCCATCTAATAACAATAACAGTGGAAGGCTTGGAAGATAAGTGAGTCCATCAACTCCAGCGGCATCACTGAGTATAGAACCACGACCTAAAACTCCTTAATCGTCGTCTGAAAAGTCTGCAACATTAACGTTGCATCCCGAAAACGGGTCAGCACATGGAATATGCTGGCAAGGTAACACATAGAGAGTAATAGAATGCAACAGCTATACTATATGCATATTTGGCTGGTGGAAAGCTCTATGGTTACAGTTTTTGCGTAAAGCCAATTTTTCCCTACTTCAAAGGAATAAATTCAATTACTATCATGGTGGTTGTTAAACATTAAGAATGGTTGACAGCATTCTCAATCCCAATTAAGTAACATCATTAAAACCCATCAAAATTAATTTAGAGTAACATGTTGAGATTCACATGAAAATTCAAGTACTAGATACTCAAGATGTCCATAACTGGGGACACGGCTAACCATGATTAGTTTGTTACACTCTGCAGAGGTTTGCACACTTTTCCCCACAAGACTCGATCGCCTCCGTTTGGTTTCTCGCACTACAGAGTGTTTGAGAAGACGGATGACCGAGACATAGTCTTTCAGAAGCGCTAGCACCTTACGATCGGGTAGACCGTACCACCTACATCCCCTACATCTGCTAGTCTACCACTGTAAGAGTTCGCACAACTTAGTCACCTATGCCAGAGCCCATAATGGCTTGTGGCTGCACACGGAAGTTTCTAGTATGAATAATCTCATGATCCCTTTGAGCCTGGGTGGCGGTCCAAAAGAAAACAGGCAAGTCCTGGAAATCCCAGGTGCCTCAATCCACCCAGATGTGTGTTAGGTTGCCACCTTAGATAAACCATTAATTATCAATCTCACATCTGTCATGGATTTCACTCACCCAATCCACGTCTACTAGCATAGCATGGCATAATAAGCAAACGTAGAAGTAACTCTCAAAGGTTTGATAATAAACAGGTAATAGGTACTACCTCATCTACTTCCCATCCCACAATTTAATTAGATCCTAATCATGCAATGTGTGAGGATTGATCTAATGCAATAAAACTGGGTTGTAGAAAAGGTATGATCAAAGTGTTACTTGCCTTGCTGATGATCCGCGAAACCTAGAGATTCAACGTAACAGGCGGCGCACTCCGGGTATTCTATCGCAGACAAACAACAAGCATACAATAAGTACTCATCTAATGCACAGGTAAAACTCAAATAGAAGATCTAACCAGAAAGTTCAACTTAAGAACCCTGGTTGGCAAACAAGAATCAAATCGAACGAAGCAAAAGAAATCAAACGGCGAAAGAAACAACTTTGTTCTAGCAATCTGGATCTAGGGAAAATTTTACAGTAGCAAAAACATGTTTAAGTTGATTATTCGGAAAGAGGGTTTCGAGACGAAACTCCAGGTGCTTGAATCGCCTGATTCCGATAAACGAGCGAAAAGTTATACTAAAACAAAAATCGGATCAGAAATCGCGATCAGAAAATAACCGCGAAAAATCTGATGAAAAAGAAAAACGACGAACAGATTTTTTTTAAACAGCACGGAAAACAAGGCGGCGGCGAACCTCGGGCGGCGCGCACTCCGGCGAGTCGGCGGCGGCGGGCGGCGGCAGCGGCGGCGGCGGCTGGGCTGGCGGCGGCGGCTGGGCTCTAGGGTTAGTGTTTCGGGGCTGGGCTCTCTCTCTCGCCTGGGGCGGCGGCTTATAAAGGCCCCGGCTGGCGGTGTCCTGGCCGTGTACGGCCCAAAGTCGGTTCCGCGTTTTTTTATAATTCCGCTTGGAAGAAAAATAAAAAGAAATACTAAACGGACTCCAAAAATCACGAAATAAATTTTGCCGGGTTTCTAAAATCAAGCCAGATAAAGTGAACATTTATCTGGGCCCAAAATACAACTTTGAAAAACACGCATTTTTCTTAAATTCAAATAAAAATACCGAAAAACTCCGAAATAAAAATTATTTGATTTTTTTATTAAATCCTCAATATTTTTATATTTTGGGAAAGTCATTTTATTCCCTCTCTCATATTTTTGTAATAGAAATAATTGATGATAAAATAAATAAAATCAAATGATCCTGTTTACATAATTTGAGAAAACTCAAATATGTAAATAACGAAATCCCCAACTCTCTCCGTGGGTCCTTGAGTTGCTTAGGATTTTCTAGGATCAAAACCAAAAGCAAAATAAAATATGATATGCATGATGACCTAATGTATAACAGTCCAAATTGAAAATTTGGGATGTTACAGCGTGGCTATTTGTAAGTTGTTTGAACTCAAATTTCATGCAAGTAGATCTTAATGGAGAAGAAAGAGAGCAGGCGCGGAGATGTGGCCTACCGCAACATCCCTATTAACATCTCACTAGGGTCTTGTTAGAGAAGGGGATCCCCCGCGCCGATGGAGCTAGGATTAAACAACGCTTGAGCTCGAGACGGGGTGTCGTGGCCAGTACTCAGCGAGATCTCTTCGGACGCAGGGTCATCCGTGAAGGAGAGGTAGAGGTTCTCTAGTAAAGGGGTAGGGTTTACCGAAAAAGGCTTTCGCCCAGCTTTATATATAAAGCACGATCCACAACAACATGGTACAAACGCACGCCACCAAAACACATGTGCACACCCAAGGCCGGATACAAAGATGCTGAACGCAGCAACACCTCTCTTAGCACTACAACAACCACCGGGGTCTCCGCCGTGAACACACCACTGCGATGACATGAAGCCACATATGACGAACCGTGAGCTCCAAAGCGGCGCCTTCAGGAAGAAAACGACACCGGAGCGCCGCCACCGCCCGACCCGAGGGTCAGAGTTTCCCCTAGAGCAACACGACGGGCAATGAGCAGAGCCACGACGACTCCTTCAGGAAGGGAGCGAGATTTGCCGCCGCCGGTCCGTTTGAAGAAAGAGCGGGTTTTCACCCTGGCCAACACTCATTGCCACCGAACACCACACCCCGGTAACCACACTGTCCCCACAGCCATAGTCACCGGGCAGCACCGAGCCACGAGCTCTGCCCATGAGCACCGCGCAACCACCACCAGGGCCGCCGCCCCAGCATCCAAGGCCTAAACACCACCTCACCCGAGACCCGCCGCTACCCCAACCAAAAAGACTGAGCGGCCCCTAGCATCTGGCCACCATCGTCTCGTCCTGCTGCACCGCGCGCTAAACGAGCTCGGTCCTGTTGCCAGGCGCGAGACGAGCTCGGTCTTGCAGCCGTGCATGAGACAGGCTCGGTCCTGCAGCCAGGCGCAAGAAGAGATCGGTCCTGCAGCCCGGGCACGAGACGAGCGATGGACCAAAGCTGGGGAAGAGCCAACTCTCCGACGAAGATTGCGCCCGGGCACCGAGAAGAGGGGTCGAAGGCCTGCACAAGCCGCTCACCGACGGGCCAATGCCGAAGAGGTCCAGCCGCCGCCGTGAGACGAACCCGACCACCGCCAAGGGCCACCACCACGCCGTGGCAGCCCCATGCACGCCGAGCACAGCCCGCGGCACCTGCCATTGCTGGATCGGCCAGGGGCCGGCAGGCCCGCCACCACCAGGGAGCGTCGCAGCAGGGGGCGGTCACCGGAGCCGGCCACCACCTGCAGCGAGCCGAAGCCTCGCCACCACAGAGGCCCAGGCCACCCACGCCGCAGCTTCGTCAGATCTGAGCCGCGCCCAAAGCCGCCGCTGCCGGGAGCAGATAACGCCCCAGCCCGCACCAGCCACTCCACGCCGCTGCCTGTAGGCCGCGCCCCCGTCACCGTCCGCCGCCGCCGCGCCGCACTGCCGCCCAGCCCAGATGACCCGCGCCATCCATCGTTGTGCGGGGGGAGGAAGAGGCCCCGCCGCCGCCCGAGCTGGCCGGGCTTTGCTTGCCAGCACGCGGGGGCGGCGGTGAGGGGAGGGAGGAACAAGGAGGAGGGCCGAGCCCGCGCGCTAGGGTTTCCCCCCCGGCGGCGCTCGCGGGAGCGGCCAGGGAGGGGAGGGGAGGGGTCCTGGTCAGACCGCTGTGCAGTTTTTCAGGGTTAGGGTTTATGATTTCAATCCAACGGCGAAAAACAAGACCAAGTCCAAACCTTTTTTCAGGCGACCTACAGATAGTCAAATAGCAAGTCCCACTGTAGGATACACTTGCGGCAGGTAGGAGACAGTAAACTATAGGCACATGGACGTGGATTTTTAGAACATCTGCACCCGGGCCCTGCTATCCTAACTGTCCAATATTGCTTTAAGATCTGTGCAACACAACTAACTTTCTATCTGAAATTTTCTTTTTTTTGTTTCTCTCGCATAAAACATGTTTTGAAGTTCAAACCTTTGCAGCGTGGCAAAGCTTTCTATCTAGAATCTAGGATAAATTTTTCAGATTTTTTGGTCAAAAATAAATATACAAAAAATGTTTTTTAAATCTATCCTAGATTCTAGATAGAAAGCTTTGCCACGCTGCAAAGGTTTAAACTTCAAAACATGTTTTATGTGAGAGAAAGAAAAAAGAGAAATGTGTTTGCACGAATCGCGAAGCGCAGAATGGATAGCTAGATAGGGAGGGTCTGGGTGCAGGTGCTCTATTATATATTTTCGATAGGCACATGACATGACAGCACGTCGTCTCACTTCTTTATCAGTTACGTCCGGTCGAGCACGGCAGCCCGGCAGAAATTCAACGGCTAACCGGACAAACAATGGATGCGCAACTGCTGTCCCGGCTCCTCTTCCTCCTCCTCAGCTTCATTATCGTCTCCGGCGAGGCGGCCACGACGCTGGTCACCAGCCTCCCGGGCTTCGACGGCGCCCTCCCGTTCCACCTTGAGACCGGGTACCACCACCACCCAACCGTGCCTTCTCGAAATTGCATTCAGTCTGTTCACCTGCGGCCAGTTCAACTTCGAGCTCTTTAACACACTACTATCAACGATCATATTGGCAGGTACGTGACCGTGGACGAGGAGCACGGCTCGGAGCTCTTCTACTACTTCATCGAGTCGGAGGGCGACCCGCGGCGCGACCCGGTCATCCTCTGGCTCACCGGCGGCGACCGCTGCAGCGTGCTCAGCGCGCTGCTCTTCGAGATGGGCCCGCTGAGGTTCGTGATCGAGCCCTACGACGGCGCGGCTGGGGCCGTGCCGCGGCTGCGCTACCACCCCTACTCCTGGACCAAGGCCGCCAGCGTCATCTTCGTCGACTCCCCCGTCGGCGCCGGCTTCTCCTTCTCCCGGGACCCCAGAGGGTACGACGTCGGAGAGGTCTCCTCTTCGCTGCAGCTCAAAACGTTCCTCACCAAGGTAATACGTAGCAATAATTCAACTGAAGCTGCTTGCTATACATTGATTAATTTGCAATGTAGAGTATATACTAATTTTGTCATCATCGTCAACATAATTTTCTGATAAAAAACATTCTTCATCTTTGGATAAGTGGTTCACTGAGCATCCAGATTTCCTCTCAAATCATTTCTATGTCGGGGGAGATTCGTACGCCGGAAAGATCGTACCAAACGTCGCGCAGAAGATCTCAGAAGGTGCTGCATTATTACTAGCATATATAACTCGTAATTCTTTTTCACATTCACATGAAAGAAAGTTCAAGGTGTTTACTTTGGAAAGGTGGATATAGTACGTCTATCCATCACACCTAAGCAATATATTTGTCTGTTTTTAGATATTGAGGCGGGACTGAAGCCGACAATTAATCTCAAGGTAAGTACTCTAAAATTCATTCACACACTATGTATACACATATATCACAATTATTGTACTGATGTTAAATGCCAAAATCACAATTAGTCTGGCCACAGGCCACAGCTAGCTTCTGTTATGACAAAAACATATATTCTCAGGGCTATCTGGTAGGCAACCCGATTACTGGTGAGGCCATTGATCTCGATTCTAGAGTGCCATATCTTCATGGAGTAGGAGTCATTTCCGATCAGTTGTATGAGGTGATTAGTTACACAAGCTCCCAACTCTTGCTCAATCACCTATGCGCTGACCTGCAGTTCACTACTAATATAAAGCTTACATTATTCCCGTATGAGGTTAATTAGTTAGTTAATTCAGTTTCCATGTGCTTGCATGTGATCAATCGATCTGATATAAGACAATAATGGAGCACTGCCATGGGGAACGTTATGACAACCCCAACCCCAAGAATGTTATCTGTGCTCAAGCTATGGACAGGCTCAAGGCGGTAAGCATACAACTCACTCAACTTACGATTAACAGCGCTGATCAATTTGATTGCTCAAGTCAATTTGGAAACCAACAGCAATACACATTTTATTTGCATATTTTTATACAATTATTTATACATTCTTCTACATACTAAGAAGATGAACCCTCCATCGTATCTCCTTCTCAATTCCTCATTTTCAAAGAATTTTTACGTCTAATATATCTTGATCTAGTATCTTCGTTGGCCTGTCAAAAAGACTCCATTTAAAGACTATATGCGTACATACGACTTCCATCCTAATATGTCATAACTATGTCTGATTACATACGACTTTCATCCTAATATGTCACCATTCTAATCTATCATTAGCATGTTTGATTACATAAGACTTCCATCCTAATCTATCGCTGTCCTAATCTATCATAACTATTTCGCTTACATACGACTTCCATCCTAATCTATCAAAGCTGTCCATGTGCACGTTGTTGGCTGCCAAATTCGTACTCATGTATATATTATAAACATAGATTGATGAGTTTCTACAATTCTTTTTCTATCACAATATTATAATAGACTGAATATATGGAGTGAATTGCAAGAAACCACCACATTTGAGGCATATCTAGCAGAAAACAACCTGGTCGCTAATCATTTGCAAAAGCCACCGCGTATTCAGTAAAAGTGTTGCAGATTGCACTGAACATGTCATTTGACACGGTTGAGGGCGTTTCCGACAGGTGGGGCCTAAAATAATCACACATAGACCCCTAGTAGATTTAAAAAAAAAATCAATCAGCCCCCTGGACCATGCCCCCGCCGCCGGAAGGAGGTGGAGCGAGGAGGAGATGGATAGGAGTGAGCCGGCGAGCGCGGCGTGCGCGTCGCGGTAGCCGACGGCGACGTGAGCAGGCCGACACGTCCCCGGCAGAGCGCCATGGCCTCCTGCTCCGTGAAGACCCCTCGCGGTCTCTCCTTTTTCTGTCTGTCTCTCGTCCCCGTCTCTGAAGCTCTCTGTCTTTTGAACAGAGGATGTGCGCCCCACCGCCTCCTTCAGTTCGTCGCGCCGCCACCTAGTTCGCCGGATTCGCTGTCTGCCGGCCCCCTTCTCCGCCTGGAGCTTCGTCACCTGCACCCACGCCCCGATCCGGTCGTCCCCGCCGCCAAACTCCACGTCCCTGCAGTCCCGCGCCGCCGTTGCTTCATGTCGAGCGAGCAGAGGACCGCGTCGTCCCTGCCTCGCCCGCTCTTGGACCTCTGCGTCGTCCTCACCGCCCACTGGTGAGCTCCTTGCGCCGCCTCCGGTCCCTTTCTTATCCTCCTGTCGCGCCGCTGCTAACTTCTCCGCCTCGCCGTCGTTTTGCTGCAGGAGCAGAGGCCGTCGCCCCCTCTCAGTTCGTCGCGCTGCCTCCAGTTCCGCCGGATCCACTGCCTGCAGGCCCTTCCTGGCCGGATCCCGCCGCCGCGCTGCCATTCCTCGCCTGCAGCTCCGCCCAGCTGCCGCCGTCCTGCTTCTTCCCGGCGAGAGGAAGGAGATGCCCTCCGTGGGGGAGGGGGGGCTTGATTGCTTTTCTTTTATAAGATCCAGGGAGGTATATGTCAATTTGTTGCCAAATCAGCTCCTTACAGTCCGGCCCCACTAGTCAGAAAATGGTTAAACGGGCTAAATCACCTGTTCAGTGTTTTTTGCAAAATGTTTACTGAATGCGCGGTGATTTTTGCAAATGATTAGCGACCAGGTGGTTTTCTGCAAGATAAGCCCCAAATGTGGTGGTTTCTTGCAATTCACTCGAATATATGCATGATTCTTTTTTATGTTTCCCCGCAGTTGCTTGAAGAAATTTACAACTCCCAAATTTTGTATAAAAAGTGCAATTATCTGTCTCCCACACCAAACGATAAGACTACACATGGCAGGATCCTCCAACAAGAAACTGGAGCACTGAAACATCCACCACCTCGGCCTCAAGTGGATTGCCATGTAAGTCCATCTTTATTAACTCCTTTACTGAATAAGTGATATCACGATGAATAACAATTAGTATGCTAAAATAAATTTGAAGGTGCATTTTTTAAAACGTTGGGAACAAGAGAAAAATATATATTGCAAATGGCTACTGATAATGCAAAAAGTCTGAGCAGATATAGGTCTAGTAAAATGACGAAAATATCCATGATTTACTGTACATGGTTTTTAAAAGAATTGATTGTCATTTTGAACCCACAAGAGTATATATTACCACGTTATTAGTACGGATATCATATTAATATGTGCACACAATCGAACTCATACTCGGGCAAGTCGATAGATTGTTTGTGCATGCGGCTGACTTGTTTTTATGCCGTGATATTGGATGAGTGCAATAAAGCTTTGCCTTACTTTGCTAGTTGGTTCTAAACTACACAATGAACTATCATTGGATGAAAAAAAAAAGAACTATCATTGGATGGAAAATCTCATCCCTTACAATCTTTTTACCACCCAATGGGAGAAAAGTCTGACTGCGATGACCCTAACCACCAAACATCTCAGAACATAGGTTCATATCCTTGATGAGCAAGAACTAAATTAGTCCGTTTGTTATATACTAGATCCCACAAGGTATAAATTTCTGTGTCGGATGTTTGAGCAGGAAGGGCAAACTGCTTAATTTCAGCCAGCCATACACCCGAAATTGCAGTAGAAGCAGGCCCGCTGCACTACCAGAATCTCACACGCATATACAACAGCACTACACAATATTTCATACATATATATATACCAGGCATTTCAGTGCTGACAAAAACCAACGCAGCTATGCAGATTAGTTATTCCACTTACCGAAAAAGAGTTTCCCCCCGCTTTGTATTCCAAAGCAACCAACACTTACTAAGATGTTGTGAGTCATCAAAAGTTATTTCCCAACCAACTTCCTATTTTTCTCCCATCTACAGGGCTATATTACCTACCTGGCATATGTTTGGGCTAACAACAACATCACACGGGAAAACCTTGGAATCAAGGAGGTTAGATTACTATCTCTGCTCGAGAAGATATTTATCTTTTGCTATTGGCATCTGATGTTTAACACTCTTCTTTTGTATCACTATGCGCCAACAACTTAGGGGAGCATGGGCGAATGGGTGAGGTGCCATGAAAAAGACCTACCTTTCACCCATGACATTGAGAGCAGTATAAAGTACCATCGTAATATTACATCAAAAGGTTATCGTGCCTTGGTATATAGGTAATTACTATTACATAAAAACAAATACAGATAGCTTACAACAATTATCATCTGGTTGTAGGGCTGTATTTTAACTATATTTGAATGTACAACAGCGGAACAAAAGATGATCTGTCGTACATCAGCAACTATGGAGTTGAATACTATCTCCACTCCAAAATATACTGCATATGGATATTTTAAAAGACAAATCTTGTAAAGGTTGACCAATTTTTTTAGAAAAAATATTATCATTATACTACCAAATATAAAATAATATAATATAAAAGTATGTTTCACAATGTTTTTAATGATATTTATTTGGTATTGTAGATGTTAAGTTTTATATAGCTTGAATTTCGAAAATACAAACTATATTTTGAAATGGAGGGAGTATAGTTTTCCAACTGCTCACCTCTCTTTCTTCTACAGTGGAGACCATGATGCTGTTGTACCTTTTTTGGGTACACAGTCTTGGGTAAGATCACTCAACTTCTCCATTATAGATGAATGGAGGGCTTGGCATCTTGATGGACAATCCGCTGGGTGAGAATTTATATTTAAATACCGTTTGATGAATTGGATTCTTCATGTTGGTTTCTATATTATTAACATATATAAACTGCATTGGATAATTCCACTTACAATGTGAAATATAACAAATATGCAGATTCACAATAGCATATACAAATAACATGACGTTCGCCACCGTAAAGGTAATAAGATATCTATCTCTGCCTTCACTTAGGAGACTCTCTTGGAAATATGGATTGCACATGTCTCTTGATGAGATTCATGCTTATCATGGGTCAATTTAGTTTGGATAGTTCTCATTGACCAATTATCACGCTTACAGGGTGGTGGACACACTGCACCGTCATACCAACCTGAGAGATGCCTCGCAATGCTTAGGCGTTGGATTTCCAACGAGCCACTCTGATGTGTTTGTGTGTTGTATATCATGATATTGGATAGGGTAAATCGTGCGATGATGTGTGAGTATGTTCTATGTGTTTTACTTTGGGTATACCATGTGGTAAACTATGAATGTAACATTTGGTCTATTTTCTCATCAAGTTAGATACCTCGCCAGGTAGTGAAGGAAATATGCCCTAGAGGCAATAATAAAGTTATTATTTATTTCCTTATATCATGATAAAAGTTTATTATTCATGCTAGAATTGTATTAACCGGAAACATAATACATGTGTGAATACATAGACAAACAGAGTGTCACTAGTATGCCTCTACTTGACTAGCTCGTTAATCAAAGATGGTTATGTTTCCTAACCATGGACAAAGAGTTGTTATTTGATTAACGGGGTCACATCATTAGTTGAATGATCTGATTGACATGACCCATTCCATTAGCTTAGCACCCGATTGTTTAGTATGTTGCTATTGCTTTCTTCATGACTTATACATGTTCCTATGACTATGAGATTATGCAACTCCCGTTTGCCAGAGGAACACTTTGTGTGCTACCAAACGTCACAACGTAACTGGGTGATTATAAAGGAGCTCTACAGGTGTCTCCAAAGGTACATGTTAGGTTGGCATATTTCAAGATTAGGATTTGTCACTCCGATTGTCGGAGAAGTATCTCTGGGCCCTCTCGGTAATGCACATCACTTAAGCCTTGCAAGCATTGCAACTAATGAGTTAGTTGCGGGATGGTGTATTACAGAACGAGTAAAGAGACTTGCCGGTAACGAGATTGAACTAGGTATAGGATACCGATGATCGTGGGAAACGGTTCCAAAGTCGATGTGATCGCGGTCGGCACGCTACCTCTACATCTACCTTCGGGATTAATATTAGACCTAAATAATTGTTATTTGGGGCCAGCGTTAAGCATGAACATTATATCTGGATCTTGTTTAATGCGAGACGGTTATTCATTTAAATCAGAGAATAATGGTTATTCTATTTATATGAGTAATATCTTTTATGGTCATGCACCCTTGAAGAGTGGTCTATTCTTATTGAATCTCGATAGTAGTAATACACATATTCATAATGTTGAAGCCAAAAGATGCAGAGTTGATAATGATAGTGCAACTTATTTGTGGCACTGTCGTTTAGGTCATATCGGTGTAAAGCGCATGAAGAAACTCCATACTGATGGACTTTTGGAACCACTTGATTATGAATCACTTGGTACTTGCGAACCGTGCCTCATGGGCAAGATGACTAAAACGCCGTTCTCCGGTACTATGGAGAGAGCAACAGATTTGTTGGAAATCATACATACAGATGTATGTCGTCAGATGAATATTGAGGCTCGTGGCGGATATCGTTATTTTCTCACCTTCACAGATGACTTAAGCAGATATGGGTATATCTACTTAACGAAACATAAGTCTAAAACGTTTGAAAAGTTCAACGAATATCAGAGTGAAGTTGAAAATCATAGTAACAAGAAAATAAAGTTTCTACGATCTGATCGTGGAGGAGAATATTTGAGTTACGAGTTTGGTGTACATTTGAAACAATGCGGAATAGTTTCGCAACTCACGCCACCCGGAACACCACAGCGTAATGGTGTGTCCGAACGTTGTAATCGTACTTTACTAGATATGGTGCGATCTATGATGTCTCTTACTGATTTACCGCTATCGTTTTGGGGTTATGCTTTGGAGACGTCCACATTCACGTTAAATAGGGCACCATCAAAATCCGTTGAGACGACGCCTTATGAACTATGGTTTGGCAAGAAACCAAAGTTGTCGTTTCTGAAAGTTTGGGGCTGCGATGCTTATGTGAAAAAGCTTCAACCTGATAAGCTCGAACCCAAATCGGAGAAATGTGTCTTCATAGGATATCCAAAGGAGACTATTGCATACACCTTCTATCACAGATCTGAAGGCAAGACTTTTGTTGCTAAGTTCGGAAACTTTCTAGAGAAGGAGTTTCTCTCGAAAGAAGTGAGTGAGAGGAAAGTAGAACTTGACGAGGTAACTGTACCTGCTCCCTTATTGGAAAGTAGTGCATCACAGAAAACTGTTTCTGTGACACCTACACCAGTTAGTGAGAAAGCTAATGATAATGATCATGAAACTTCAGAACAAGATACTACTGAACCTCGTAGATCAACCAGAGTGAGATCCGCGCCAGAGTGGTATGGTAATCCAGTTCTGGAAGTCATGCTACTAGATCATGATGAGCCTACGAACTATGAAGAAGCGATGGTGAGCCTAGATTCCGCAAAATGGTTTGAAGCCATGAAATCTGAGATGGGATCCATGTATGAGAACAAAGTGTGGACTTTGGATGACTTGCCCAATGATCGGCAAGCAATTGAGAATAAATGGATCTTCAAGAAGAAGACTGACGCCGATGGTAATATTACTGTCTACAAAGCTCGACTTGTCACAAAAGGGTTTCGGCAAGTTCAAGGGATTGACTACGATGAGACCTTCTCACCCGTAGCGATGCTTAAGTCTGTCCGAATCATGTTAGCAATTGCCGCATTTTATGATTATGAAATTTGGCAGATGGATGTCAAAACTGCATTCCTGAATGGATTTCTGGAAGAAGAGTTGTATATGATGCAACCGGAAGGTTTTGTCAATCCAAAGGGAGCTAACAAAGTGTGCAAGCTCCAGCGATCCATTTATGGATTGGTGCAAGCCTCTCAGAGTTGGAATAAACGCTTTCATAGTGTGATCAAAGCATTTGGTTTTATACAGACTTTTGGAGAAGCCTGTACTTACAAGAAAGTGAGTGGGAGCTCTGTAGCATTTCTGATATTATATGTGGATGACATATTACTGATTGGAAATGATATAGAATTTCTGGATAGCATAAAGGGATACTTGAATAAGAGTTTTTCAATGAAAGACCTCGGTGAAGCTGCTTACATATTAGGCATAAAGATCTATAGAGATAGATCAAGACATTTAATTGGACTATCACAAAGCACATACCTTGACAAGATTTTGAAGAAGTTCAAAATGGATCAAGCAAAGAAAGGGTTCTTGCCTGTGTTACAAGGTGTGAAGTTGAGTCAGACTCAATGCTCGACCACTGCAGAAGATAGAGAGAAAATGAAAGATGTTCCCTATGCTTCAGCCATAGGCTCTATCATGTATGCAATGCTGTGTACCAGACCTGATGTGTGCCTTTCTATAAGTCTAGCAGGGAGGTACCAAAGTAATCCAGGAGTGGATCACTGGACAGCGGTCAAGAACATCCTGAAGTACCTGAAAAGGACTAAGGATATGTTTCTCGTATATGGAGGTGACAAAGAGCTAATCGTAAACGGTTACGTTGATGCAAGCTTTGACACTGATCCGGACGATTCTAAATCGCAAACCGGATACGTGTTTACATTAAATGGTGGAGCTGTCAGTTGGTGCGGTTCTAAACAGAGCGTCGTGGTGGGATCTACGTGTGAAGCGGAATACATAGCTGCTTCGTAAGCAGTGAATGAAGGAGTCTGGATGAAGGAGTTCATATCCGATCTAGGTGTCATACCTAGTGCATCGGGTCCAATTAAAATCTTTTGTGACAATATTGGTGCAATTGCCTTGCCGAAGGAATCCAGATTTCATAAGAGAACCAAGCACATCAAGAGACGCTTCAATTCCATCCGGGATCTAGTCCAGGTGGGAGACATAGAGATTTGCAAGATACATACGGATCTGAATGTTGCAGACCCGTTGACTAAGCCTCTTTCACGAGCAAAACATGATCAGCACCAAGGCTCCATGGGTGTTAGAATCATTATTGTGTAATCTAGATTATTGACTCTAGTGCAAGTGGGAGACTGAAGGAAATATGCCCTAGAGGCAATAATAAAGTTATTATTTATTTCCTTATATCATGATAAAAGTTTATTATTCATGCTAGAATTGTATTAACCGGAAACATAATACATGTGTGAATACATAGACAAACAGAGTGTCACTAGTATGCCTCTACTTGACTAGCTCGTTAATCAAAGATGGTTATGTTTCCTAACCATGGACAAAGAGTTGTTATTTGATTAACGGGATCACATCATTAGTTGAATGATCTGATTGACATGACCCATTCCATTAGCTTAGCACCCGATCGTTTAGTATGTTGCTATTGCTTTCTTCATGACTTATACATGTTCCTATGACAATGAGATTATGCAACTCCCGTTTGCCAGAGGAACACTTTGTGTGCTACCAAACGTCACAACGTAACTGGGTGATTATAAAGGAGCTCTATAGGTGTCTCCAAAGGTACATGTTGGGTTGGCATATTTCGAGAATAGGATTTGTCACTCCGATTGTCGGAGAGGTATCTCTGGGCCCTCTCGGTAATGCACATCACTTAAGCCTTGCAAGCATTGCAACTAATGAGTTAGTTGCGGGATGATGTATTACAGAACGAGTAAAGAGACTTGCCGGTAACGAGATTGAACTAGGTATAGGTGTTGGGGAACGTAGCAATAATTCAAAATTTTCCTACGTGTCACCAAGATCAATCTATGGAGTCATCTAGCAACGAGGGAGGACTGAATCTACATACCCTTGTAGATCGCGCGCGGAAGCGTTCAAGAGAACGGGGTTGATGGAGTCGTACTCGTCGTGATCCAAATCACCGATGATCCTAGCGCCGAACGGACGACACCTCCGCGTTCAACACATGTACGGAGCAGCGACGTCTCCTCCTTCTTGATCCAGCAAGGGGGGAGGAGAGGTTGATGGAGATCCAACAGCAGGACGGCGTGGTGGAAGAAGTAGCGGGATTCCAACAGGGCTTCGCCAAGCGCTGCGGGAGGAGGAAGATGTGTCGTGGGAGGGAGAGGGAGGCGCCAGGGCTTAGGTATGGTTGCCCTCCCTTCCCCCCACTATATATAGGGCCAAGGTAGAGGGGGAGGGCGCAGCCTTGCCCCTTCCTCCAAGGAAGGGTGCGGCCAAGGGGGAGAGGAGTCCATCCTCCCCAAGGCACCTCGGAGGTGCC